GCAGCCCATACACACACTTCATCACCTGTACACACATACACTATGAACACACTTGAAAAATCCCCTATGCACACTATGCCTCCTGTAAATACATAAATTCTCTCACTCTCTACAGCCCCTAGCCACACATATTACACCACAAACACAACCCAACTGAAACTGATCTATTTACACAAAACACCACAATCAGCTCACTCTACACACACAATCCCACAAGCAGGCTCCATATACATGCACAGCCCACTTTCCTGGCCCTTTTGTCCTCTGGTATACTACTTGTGTAGACACTAGAGACATGTCAAAGCAAACACAGCGCAAACTGTGGCGAAAGTAACTTCGCCACTGGCTTTTGGAGGAGTCTGTTTGCCAGCCTCCTACCCTGTGACTATGGCCCCTGCAATAGATCTGGCTAAACTACTTCAAACAGGCGACTGTTCGACTTGGCTCAACCACAGTCCCTCAGCCCAGAGAATTACATGGATGCCATACCCTCTTCTGCCCAACCAGCCCCAGGAGTAAGCGACCTTATAGACTGGTCCTGGGAGGACCCCCAACTGGCATTGGAGATGGGACTGAGGTCTCTCCACCGGCCCTACAGGGATGCTGGGTGGTCAGCTCAGATCCCCAACTACAGCTGGAAGTACCGGGAGTAGGGACAGTCGGTTCAACTCCTCAGAGGCAGTATACCATACAGGGAGAGGAGACAACCGGTCTCTCTCCCCAGCGGCAGTGCATCCTACAGGGAGAGGAGACAACCGGTCTCTCTCCCCAGCAGCAGTGCATCTCACAGGGAGAGGAGACAACTGGTCTCTATCTCCAGTCGTGGTGCACATCACAGGGAGAGGAGACAACCGGTATCTCTCCCCAGTTACAGTGCATCCTACAGGAAGAGGAGACAACCGGTCTCTCTCCCCAGCGGCAGTGCATCTCACAGGGAGAGGAGACAACCGGTCTCTCTCCCCAGCGACAGTGCATCTCACAGGGAGAGGAGACAACCAGTCTCTCTTCCCAGCAGCAGTGAGCAACACAGGGAGTGGAGACAGCCGGTCTTTCTCCCCAGCGGCAGCCGGATATCCTGGAAGAGGAGACGGCTGGCCCCTCTCCCCAACTACAGGTGGAAAACACGCCTGACCCCAATGGTGCAGATGGGACTGCAGTCTCTGCACCAGACCTACAGGGATGCTAGACAGCCGGTCCAGATCCCCAACCAACACCGCAGGAATGCCAGGAGGAGGAGGTAGGTGATCCCTCCTCTCCACAGCAGATCCTCAACCAGGTCCTGGGGGTAGTATCCACTGACCCCATCCCAGCAAAAGGGCTGGCATCTGGGCAGAGTGCAGCTGGCTTCTGCCCTACTGGTACATGTGTTTTGGGACCGGAAGACCCACTGACCACGAGTAGCCCCAACTCCAAGTTGGTGAGCAACAGAGCGACCAGGAGTACCAGATGCCTACGTAACCGTTGGGTACGTACAGAACAGTGACCGGCTACAGAAGTCACCAGGTACAGTAATTGCTTATGGGTGGGCTACTCAACTAACTCAGGTAGCGACCGGCAAGAGGTCAGGTACCTGGTTAGTCTTACCATGGGGGGGGGAAGATATATGGCAGAAGTAACCTCGCCACTGGCTTTTGGAGGAGCCTGTTTGCCAGCTTCCTACCCTGTGACTATGGCCCCTGCAATAGATCTGGCTAACAAACAGAGACCACCCTGGAGCTTGTTAATACCTATTAACAACTTGGAACGTTTCTCACCGCAGTATTCTAATTGTTCGTCTGGGTGGCCGCAATTCCTATGAACAACCAAGATGGTGGCCGCCATTTTGTTCACATGAACGTAGGCAGCGGTGTTTGGGCATGAATTTCATGAAACTGAAATTGGATACAGAAACTCCCGAACACCGCTGGACTTTCCTCATCACCTGCTTCGTTTCTATTCGGTTTAGAAGGGCACTGTTCGGTGAGATCATTCGTCTGGATGAAAGGAACAAACTCCAGGGTAAGATTATTGACTTGTTTATTTTTAAACTACCGAACTAGACTGACCGTTAGCTCAGACAGTTAGCCCTGATTCTCTGGAACTGTTTTGGGCATGGTACCATGCCTGCGGTCGGTCAAATACATGACTTCCATAAAAGTTCTGTTCCTGCTTACCCTCAACATAGAGTCTCGTCTCATGTGTGGGGGAAATGACTGTATCTATCCTGGGGATTGCTCTATCACTATATTCCCCAGGAATTATAATCACTAGCTCTTTTAAGAGCTGTTCCTGCTATGCTTTCTGGAGTAGGAGAGGTTCACCCACTGGAAGCTGGATCCTAGTAGGTGGAGGACGGCGAGTTCCCAGCCAAGCTGTAACGCTCGACGTGGGGACTGCGGTGTTGATGGTGTCGGGTGGAATGCTTGGAGTCCTCGGTGAGCACTAGGAGCATCGACTGATGGAGCTACCCACTCGGGGTGTGTGGTAAAACCGACCTCGCCACTGGGCATTGGAGAAGATGGATTGCCAGCTTCCTGCCATGTGACTATGGCCCCTGGGATGTATTGCCCTTTAAAGACATGATTTGGGCATATTGGATTTGTATGGTGCTGCTAGCCCTTTAAGAACCATTTTGGAGCATGGCGAAAATTTGGGACAATGCCCCTTTTAAATCTGTGTCCCCAGACCTATTTGGGACAAGGCCCCTTTAAAACTGTGTCCCCAGACTTGTTTGGGACACTGCCCCTTTAAGATGGTGTCCCCAATGTCCCCAGACTTTGGAAATAACTTTTAAATGGCTTTTTCCCTTATGGTTCGGTAATTGGGGCTTACCGAGCCATTCACTGCACAGGCGGACCACCCAGAGCTGGAAGTGTGTAGGCAATTTACCTCCCAGGCTGGGAGCCTGCTGTAGGTAAATTGCCGAACGCTGGGGGCCGCCGTTCGCACTAACGAACATGTGGTGGCGGCAATCTTTTTTTATTCAATGCGGTCAGCGGTGTGTGTATCTAAATTCATGGAACTGAAATCGGCTACACAGTTCCGCGAACACCGCTGAGCCTTACCTTCTCCCACAATGATTTTGCAGCCGCAGAGACTAAGTCCCATTCGGTGATGGGACTTAATCGTTTTTTCAGCCTGAAATAGACCGACCGCACAGCCCAAATCTATGGAACTGTTTTGGACATGAAAATGTGCTTGCGGTCAGTCAAAAAGGGACCTCCAGCTAACTTTTTAACCCCTGGATGGAATTGGCTGAATTTTAGATATGTTTATAATTAAAGTGTGCTGAGTTTATGTTTGTGGCATGTATATTTTTGAAGTTATTAATATTTTGTAAAAACTGTATTTCTCTGCCTGTGATAATTATATTAACCATTGTGTTCAGTAATCATATCACAGGCAGAGGGGAGGATTTTGTGTGGGAGTGTCTGTGTGTATTGTACGGATTGATTGGTTGTATTTCAAAACCCTGTGGGCAGTACTATGTTTGTGGATTGTGAATAAAAGAGGCCAGCACAGACAGTTCTACTTCACCCTCAATTTGGAGTGCCGTCTCTTATTGGGGGAATCTGCTACAAGGGATTGCTATGCTCTGCACATTCCCTTGCTATAATCACTCCTAAGCTCTTTTAAGAGCTTGTTCCTGCTTCGCTCTGAAGGAAGAGAGGTTCGGCCTGCGGTGGTTGTGGTGTTGGCTAGAGTGCTTGGAATCCTCAAGAAGCGCTAGGAGCATCCCTCAACGAAGGTATCCAGTCGGGGTGCCAGGTGATCCGTTACAGGGTGCTTGTGCTGCGCAGAACAAATACATGACCTTTTTCTCATCAGAGCTCTGCACATCGTCTGCCCTGAGCCTACATGCTTATTTTGAGAGGGGCGTGCTTGTTGGTGATGACAAAACACCCCCTCTCTGGCCCGGCCCCCTTCGCAGGGGGCCGGTGTAATTAAAAAATGCCCAGGCCGAATTTATTTCCCAGGCAAGTCTAGCCCTGATTGTTTTGAGGTAAGGGGTAAATATTCCAATGGCAGCCCTGTCTGGTACCCTACAAATATCTCACTAGTGGATAAACTGAAGGGAAGTCCTAACCTATGTACATGCCACATATACAGATATAGTATTTTTAAATCAGACAAATTCAGAAAATAAATAACTGTGCAATAAAATGTACAAAAATATTAGGTGTATACATTGGTTCACTTCACAGAAGTCTGAGGGCCCGGCCGGGAGGGGGGCTCGGCATCAGGGGGCCCGGCGGCAGGGCCAGATTGGCCCACCGGGGCTAAGCAAGTAGGTGCCACCGGGTGGGCGGTCCGGTGGCACACTCTGAGGGGGCCGGCCGCGTTCCACGCTGGAGCCACCAGGCCGAGTGGCAGCCTCGCCGGTCTGGCGGCACTCCTGTCCTGTCACTTACGCTGAGGACGGAAGAAGGGAGGAGCATGTCTCTCTCTCAGAGACAGAGGGGGAAGAATGAGACACAGGGGGAGAAAGAGGGGGAATAGAGAGATGGGAAGAAAGAGACAGAGAGGGAAGAATGAGACACAGGGGGAGAAAGAGGGGGAATAGAGAGTTGGGGGAGGGGGGAGAAAGAGAGGGAAGAATGAGACACAGGGGAGAAAGAGATGGGGAGGGGGGAGAAAGAGACAGAGAGGAAGAGAGATGTGGGGGAGAGAGAGACACAGGGAAAGGGGGGAGAAAGAAACAGTGGAAGAGAGAGACACAGGGAGAAAGGAGAGAGACACACAAGGGGAGGGGGAGAAAGAGGCAGAGGGGTAAGAGAGACTGGGAAGGAGAGGGGAGACATGGACACAGGAGCAGTGAGGGGGAGAAAGATACAAACAGAGGGACTGGGGGGAGACAAAAAGGCACACAGAAGGGCTGTATATATCACTGGTGGATCCAGGGGGGCAACGGGGCAATTGCCCCCCCTCCCCTGTCTGCAGGCACCGTGCGGGCAGCCGGCAGGGGAGGGAGGAAGAGAGGACCCGGGAGCTCAGCCTGCAGCTCCTCTGGGTCCTTCTTGCGCGAGCACAGAGCGTTGCCGCGGTTACCATGGCAACGTTACGCTCTTGCGAGAGTCAACTCTAGCCCTGGAGCTACGGGCTAGAGTTCACTCTCAACACTGTGACCACCAGGGATTCCTGGTGGTCGCAGTGGTGAGAGTGAATTCTAGCCCCATAAACACACTGCCCCCACACACACACCATACACATTCACACACTGCCCCCACACACACACACCATACACATTCATACACTGCCCCCAATACACACACACTGCCCCCACACACACCATACACATTTACACACATTGCCTCACACACACACATTCACTGCCCACCCATACACACATTGCCCCACACACCCTACACATACACTACACAAAACACACACTGCATCCACTATACAAACATAAACTGCATCCACTACACAAACACCCACTGCATTCACTAATCAAATATTCTCACTGCATCCACTACACACACATATATTCTTGAAAACATAAACAAATTCTGACTGGCATGTATATTTTGTGCATTTACCTTAAAATGGTAAATGTACAGAATATCTGTAAATTATCTGCTATCGGCCTGAAAGTTCACAGATTATCCGAATCGGCTCTAAAAAATCTATATCGATCGATCTCTCTGGTAGTCGTGCCCAAAAGTTTGTACACAATTGTATAACATTTTATATATGATATAAACAAACAGACAGACACAAATCTACACATGGTATAAATAATGGAGAAGTTTGGAAAATCTTGGAAGTAACATAGTATATTCTCCTGGTTCCATTTGAGCTTTTGTTGTCACATATGTATAGCAAAGCATGAAATGAATTGTCACTATGAGAAGAGTGTAACAATGCATATATAGTGAGCGATCTCCAAAATGACACCTGTATAATTCACACAGCACAGTTATTTACTGTATCAGGTTGCTGCTATTGTACATCTGTTTGTGAATGATATACACAGAAGAGTATCATTTGCACTGACAGACACACATTGTGACATTTTCACAGGACAGCTGCTGTAACTGGCATTGAGAGAGAATCCTCAAATTTATATAGTTATATATCATCACTGTCCTTAATATAATTCTGTATTACCTCTTCTTTTCCATACTGTGATTTATACAGATAGCTTATTATGCACAGAAGTGAGACGTCGGAGAGCTATATAAATTACCCTGGTAAATAGAAAAGGATTCAATTTTTTTATTTCATTGTTCTTCAACCTTTTTCACTGATTTTAACCACTAACATGTTTTTCCTCATTTCTTACCTTCACAAACTATTTCAACTGTCAACATTTGGGCCTATCTACACTATCTGGTTCTCTGACTTTGTCTCATGTCTGTCTTTTAGATTATTTTTAGACATAGAGATTTGTTTTGTTACAAACATTAAGTTGGTTGTCCTAATTCCAAATTTCCGAACCATTGTATATTGTATGCAGGCATTTTCATGCAAACACTGCATTTTCAAAGAAAAGGCAGTGTTTACACTGCCCCTAGGGACAACTCCAAGTGGCCACTCCTCAGATTGCCAGTGGAGGTGCTTCCTGGCTCAGTGCTGCACAGTAGGCAGCAGTGCCGTTCAGCGTCTCCACGCTCTGCATTGATTCAATGCATCTCCATGAGAAGGTGCTGATTGGCCAAAACGACATTTGGCCCTGCCCCTTGTCGATTTTAGCCAATCCAATGCTTTTTTTTCGATCAGTTGGATGGCCAGGTGAGTGCAGAATGCACTATGGGAAGAAGGCAGGCACTTACTAGCAGGGCCATCTTTAATATTGACTGGATCTGCGCAATCATTTGCTTGGGCCCCCTGGACCCTGCACCCTGCCAGACATACTAGCACACACACATACACTGACAGACATACTGACACACACAGACATATACACTGACAGACATTCTGACACACACAGACACATACACTGACAGACATACTGACACACACACATAAACACATACTGACACACATGCAGACACATGCATTGACAGACATACTGACACAGACACACATTGACAGACATACTGACACACACAGAAATATACACTGACTGACATACTGACACACACCCTGACAGACATACTGACATACACATACACTGACAGACAAAATTACATGCACAGACATACTGACATACACACTGACACAGACACAGATACATACACTGACAAACATACTGACACATACACTGACAGACATACTGACATACACATACACTGACAGACATACTGATACAGACACAGATACATACACTGACACAGACACATACACTGACAGACATACTCACACAGACATACTGACATAAATTTACACTTTTAAACCCACCCTCCAGTTTCCTACCTTGGAGGGTGGTTTCCACAGTGTCCAGTCTTGAGGGTGAAGCTATTGGGAGAAGGGGTCTGCCTCTCCCTGCCCAGTCCCCTTCCTCCCTGCCTCCTCTGTCTCCCGCACTGCTCCTTTCCTTAGTGGGATGAAGTGACTCGCGGGCATCACTTGCTCCCAGCGCTGCTTGAAAGCAAGGGGCCTGGTCGCATTGTTAAAGTGCCACAACGTGTGACCGGGCCCCTGCTTACAAATGCCTGCCGGGTGTCCATTAGTGTGTGGGCCGCTGGTTGTGGCAGGCCCATGTGGCAAAAAATTGTTGAGGGCAGCGGGGCCTACGGGGCAGCTGCTTTTGGGTCCCCAAGAGTAACTGGGCCTGGGCAGCTGCCCCGTTTGTCCTGCGTTAAAGACGGCCCTGGTGACTAGTAATACACATTGAAGTTTCATAGCATTTTTATGGTATTGCTGTGCATGAAATTCTTCTATCATATAAAATCTGACAATTTATCTGTAGAATTCAATATTTAATAAAGGAAAACCGGGGGGGTCTGTCAATGTTTGCCCTTGGTTTAAGAACAAACAAATGGTCTTTTTTTGTGCATAAAATTCCCAGATCCCACTGTGGATGGTCCTTCTCACATGGAGCATGCAATATATGGGTTGATAAATAAAGTCTGCTTGAGTTGCGCAGTGTGACATCAGCATGACTTGTGCAGAGTGAGAGCATCCACAGAGATCTGTGAATGCTTATTAAAAGACACAGATTCTGTATCCTGAGACACTATTGCTACCAAAGACACCCAATGTGTGTGTTTTTAAAGTCATAAGCATGGCATCATCTTACCCTGTTTTTACTTGTAAATTTCTCCAGATATATAATTTGTAATCACAATAGTCTGGCGACCTTCTAGGCTCATGTCACTGCAGCCTGCAGTGAATAATCTCTAGTCACTATATGGCTACTTTTTCCTTAATTCAATTAGTGTTCAATTCAATATTTATGGTTATACACACACAATAGTGTGCTAAAACGAAAAGCACACATTCATTGCCGTCAGATGTGAAATCGTATTCCCCTGAGGTAGTGTAGAGTAGACTATGCTTTGATTACAGCCGATGAAATAATTCAAGAGAAGGTCGCTACTTGCCGTCTATCAAGGTAATAGGAGATTGAAAGGGAAGAGTGTGTTATCATCTCACCTAGCAACCACGACTAGCATCTGCTTGCAGTATACTGGGATGAGCAGTTACCATTATTTATGGTAATCCTACTTTTTTAATTACACTTTGAATAATCAACAATCTTTCCTTTTTCAATATCTATAAATATCTGATTTCCTACCCAGTGCTAGCTACCTAATTCTGTACTGCCTCTTCCAATGCAAATCTTTCTAAAATGGCTTCAACTATTTTTCTTTTTGCATTGAATAGATCAATAGAATGTAAGTTTATTTGAATATCATCTGTTCTTGATCCTGGAAGTCAAACTTGTCTGATGCAATTACTGTTATGTCTCCTTGTATAATGCTGAGAATACGGAAGTGATTTATTGTTTTTGTTCGAATTAAATGTTTTGTTAGAATGAAATGTTTTTTTCCTTTTTACCTATTGTAAAAAAATAATTGTAGTTGTCTTGTACACCCAAAGTCTTGTAGGTGTCTGTATTTGAGTATAATGCCTACATACAGAAAAAACAGTAAAATCACATTTCTAAAACAAAGTACTTAAAGCTGCTATAGCAATCTTTATCAATCTCTACAAAACTAAAGTTCTGCTTTATCAATCTCTTGAAAACTATGTTATAATATAACTAATCCATTCACTCCTCCTCGTAACTGACTGTTGGAATGATAAGACCAGTTGAAACATCCTTTACTGTTTGGTAGCAAGAGATAAGGATACATTTTCAGCACACACACAGGCAATATATGTTCTCCTAATGTTTCTGGCAAAGAAATGTGTTCCTCTGCTGGCTGGTAATCATTCCTGTAGTAAAAACAAGGGTGATTGCGGCTTTATGGACTAAATTTCATTCTGCAATATACATGAAAATAGAAATGTAAAACAAAGGAAACCGCGCTAGAAAAACCAATACTATAAAAGAATAATATAGGAGGCAACAAACCTAGAGTAATCGCAAGAATAATACAGAAGGTAGAAAGAGGAAGGTTGCACCAAAGAAAAAAGCTAAATACTAAAAATATATATCTAAAAAGAGTCCAATATCAATGTCTAATTCAAACCACAAAAAATGCCAAAAAAAAGTCCAAAGTCCAAAGGGACTCCATGAGGGAGTCCGCTCCTCTCCGGCAAGGTGCATCTCTGCCCTTTCTCCTTTGTGTGAGGTGGGTAGGCTTTTGTTTATTCCTGTAGCTTGTGCCAAAAGGCTTGGAAGATTTCGTCTGACCGCTGCATGGTATGGTTGACAGCACTGTGTCGTGGCTGACATGGTGGGCCTGCCTACTGGAGCAGTTTGGAGTGTGTCCGCCATTTTGAAGGCTCGAGTCAGGCGTGGAGCAAACGGGAGACAAAGCTCTGCTGATTTTCAGTGGGGACCAGAATGACCCTGTTCCAGAGGTGGGGTAGGAGTTGTGCGGGACCACACTGTAAGGTGTAGAGCGGGAAGGTCGGCCTCCTCTCACCAGCTCTGTCCCAGCAGGCCACAGCAAAGATTCTTGGGCTCCCAGTGAAGTTATGAGCCGATTGACAGCTCTATTAACTCACCCGGAGATCCCCGACTCAGATGATGCTCATTTAACAGGTATTGGGCTTGTTGGCTGGGTTAAACATCTCCAAAACGGCCATAAACTCAGGAGCTCATGCACAAC